TCAGAAGTCCAGACACATACTCAGACGATTCCATCTCATCAGAGAGATAGTTGAAAGGAATGACATGTAGATTAGTAAAGTGCGTACTGACACAATCTCGCAGATCCACTAACAAAGCCTCTGTTGTAGCAAAAGCATGAAAGGCACTTGAGATCATTTGGTATAATACATGAATGATTGGCTATATGCAAGTGGGAGATTGTTAGAGTAGATGCCCTAGAGCCAATCAATTATTTAGATTGACTCTTTGTGATAATATTCATTAATCAATAAAAGGCATTTTTTATCTATATTGCGTAAATCATTATTTTGCAATATGTATTGATATATGTCCTTAGAATGGTAGAACTGTGACGGGGGTATCAAGTGTTTCAAATCTTGATAGTGAGAACCCTATGAGCACATATGGCCATTCTAGAAACGTCCGTAGCCCCAGTATTATTCTGAAGTAAGGGCACAGATAATACGGTAAGGCTATCATAGTGTTGAACAACTCTGTCGAAAGCCAGTGACTGATCTCACTTGTCAAGGTTGCTTGGTGACAACCTGGTGCAACACATAGGTGCTTGTTGTAGGCGAAGACACTACAGCAAGTTCACTAGACAGACCTACCAGAGGATTCCATATGGATCGAACCCCATGTGTCATGGAACAAATCTCTACGATGTGTGGTGCATGTGATCCTTAGACTTGAGATATCAGAGCGCTGTGCACCGATTGGTGTAGTTTGACACTACCTACGCAGTTCTATTCAGAGCTATCAATGCGGTGGTGATTGGCTGCATCAAAGAGTGTATCAAGACTATGGTGATTGATAGAGGATTCATCACTCCCGGTATGGAGAAGTTATCTCACGACGCAATTCAGTGTATGGCAATGACACTAAACGGTGGCCACAGTGGGATTGAGTTGTTGCTCTATCCAGTTTATAATACAGTCATTGGTACAAAACTGAATATATAAATTGAGAGTAACCGAATGTTGACACTATTTCTATGCCTTTGTCTCGTCGAGATAACATATGATGAAAGGATCGAATTGTACGGTAACCATATCGTTGACAGATAACTACTTTGCTGAATCCGAATCTACAGTGGCCATGATACCTTGCTAGGGGCCAAACTTGGTCTGTGTATTAGTGAACGATTAATTGGTGTAATCGCGATCTATACACCTGCCGTATGATGAGGAGCCTATGGGTCACACACATAGAGATAATTTAAGACTCAAGAAGAAGAAGGCGTTTTCGTCTTTTTAGGCAAAGGGTATTTTGTTAGTTCCACAAGTGCAATTAAATTTGCTGAGGTCGTAGCCTTTTATTTAATTTGTTAGAAAAATTAAATAAGTGAAATTACATTTAAATATGTGTTAGCATATATTTAAATAAATCATCATTATTGTTAAATGTTAATATATATAGATTAAATATATATTAACTGACTTTTAATTGAGATAATGATGAAATAAAATAAATATCTAATTGGGTGTGTTTGGTAACATGGGGTGTTTGGGTTGGAGCCCAAGCCTATTCCATATAAGAATAGGGCAATTAAACTTTACTATAAAAGAAAAAGGTTATTTGTAAAATGGGTAAGATTTTCATTAGTTCATTTTTCATTGTAAAAGAGATATACACACAGCCCCATTTACTCTCCCACGGCAGTATTTCATTTTGCCCAAAATCAATTCATTTGATTTTTCTTCTTTAATCTTAAAGCTAAGGAGGATCTAGCAAATCTCTCCTTAGTTCTTTGTGATTGTCTTCGTGTGGACTATGTGGGTTCGATCCTACACTTGGGTCGGTAGCAAAAACGTTCATTGACAAATTTGGAGGAGCCTCCAAACGTGCGTATGTTTTCTAAACTTATGATTAATTTTTTCTGCAGATTTCTACTTTAATATAAACTGTAAAATTATACCTTTAATCTTGGCTCTTTGGGAACGATCCTTATATTATGATTTTTGATTTTCCGCTACGTATATGGACCGTTTCCTAACAAGAGGTTTATGAGAACTCTTGGTTTGCATACCTTGTTGACAAGAGCCACAAACTTTACCTTTTAGGAATTTAAGTTTGGGCAAACCTTTCACGTCATCCACCTTGGAGAGTCTCACAAGGTCTTTGAAGTTCATGCACCCAAGCTTTTTGTGCCACAAATCAACACAATCTATCTTAGTGCTAAAGCAAGAAACTTGATTAGTCAATAAATAGCAATTATCATGTAATATTCCTTCTAGCTAGTATACTTGGGAGGTATAAAATGAAAACTCACTAAATATATCATAGAAAAACATATATGGATATAAGTATAAGGTAGTGGGCCCAAAAATAGCATTACTTTTATATACAAATCTCTACATCAAGTACCATAGTCACAAAAAGAAACACAAAAATACAGTCTGACAGTGTTGCCTTTCTCCTCCGCTACTTGACGTCCCATCCGACCGCATCTCATTTACTACCTGCAAAAAAAAGTGAAATCAATAGGGTGAGCACTAATTGCTCAGTAAGTAAACCCACAACACTTCTATTCTTTCTCCATTACTCATATTCTGAATTTTCTTTCCTTACACCAAGCTTCTCTATTCTTCTCTGTTTTCTACGATTCTAGTTTCTCACTTACCGATATGTAATCACAAATAGGGAAACTAACTCGAGATAGTAGAAATAGCATGATGCATATGCACAGATGCATAAACTTTTCTATACAATGCATTTTCTTTTCTGTTTTCCTGTTTTCTTATTTTCTTTTTCTTTTTCCTTTCTTTCTTTTCTGTTTCTATTCTTTCTTTTCTATTTTTCTTGCTTTTCTATTCTTTCTTGCTTTTTCTATTCTTTTCAATCTTTCTTTTCTATTCTTTTCTTTTCTTTTCTTTTCTTTCTTTACCGATTGGACTCGGTTGAGGCATGGATTCGAAACCCTGGCCGTGTGAGTGTATTCTCAAATTCTTTCTTGAGTACAGTCCTCGTCCACATGCACTTCTTACGGATTGTACAAATTCTTCTTTCTTATTCTGAGGCCGCTCACTAAAGGCGGCGTGCATGTGGGGTTATTCTTCTCTGTCACTCACGGGCTCCCCATCGCGACAACCTTCTCTTCTCTTATCTTTTTATATTTCTTTAAGTAAAATTTCAGATTTGAATTGTTCTTTAATTATATTTCTTAAAACAATAATTCTACATTTAATTGCTTTTCTTTCTTTCTCTTTATTCTTTAATGTTCTCATACATGTATATGTGCATGTAAATATGCTCATTCTTTGCTATTCTTTCTAAATGCAAATGCTCAAATGTATGAATGCATTATGGCATATTAAGATATCATTATGGAACTAATATTCTCTACCAACAACATTTCCATAACAAAGTAATAATCCAACATACTCATGTATTGCACTTTCTTTGACATTTCATCAAACACCTTACATGCACATACAAACCCTAAATTGGTTACACCTCCACATATCTCTCAAGTCACCAAAATTGGAGCAAACAACTCCCTAAAGCCAACAATCAACCTAGCCGAATTTCATCCTCCACCTTTCTACATCCATTCTTTCATTTTTCATCCAAAATCTCATCAACTCAACACATACAAATACATAACTTCTCATCACATACCAATAAATCAATTCTCATCACATACTAATAAATCAATTCTCATCACATACTAATAAGTCACTTCTCATCACATACTAATAAATTACTTCTCATCACATATAATAAATTACTTCTCATGGCCATGAAATTCACATATCAAACAACCTCAATTTTCAATCCATAATTCTCATCATCCAAACACACATACAACATATAAAAATTTCTCTACACAAGTATTTATCCAATCAAAGCTAAAGTTGGATTCACTTACCTTGAATTTGAGCAACTCCAACACTATAATCTCTCTTTGGTAGAATTCCCTTTTCTTCTTAAACCCTAAGCACATAAAACCATAAGAATTCAAAACTTTAAAATTTAAATCTCACATCTTGGTGAGAGAATCTTACCTTTGGATGCTTATGATTGAAAATCTATCAAATTGTAGCCAAAATCCTATGAATTTCCTTGAAAATTGAGTGAAGAAATTTGAGAGAATTTTAGGGTGAAGGTGGTGTGAACTATGGGTAGAGTGGCTAAGGTTTCTCTTCTTGAACTCTTATTACATAATAATATATATATATATATATATATTCCCATTTTACCCTTACACTTTCTAAAAGTTTCATTTATGTCCCTTAGTCAATTACAAAAATGCCCTCATTTTTATTAACTTCTTCATGTTATTCTGCTTTTTTTCACTCCCCACTTTTTCAACTAATTATGAGTGAAAAGACCATTTTACCCCTAATGAAGGTTTAAGGAATTTTCTTCACACTTGTTCAAGATAACTTTAACAAAATTCAACTAAGGGTATTAGGGCATAAATAAAGCTACATACCTTGATGTGGGCATTACATATCATTTGACATTTTTCCTTCAAGCAAGGAAACACCTTCACTATTTAGGACTTGACACTTGGTTTTGGAAAATTTCACAATAAAGTCCTTATCACAAATCTGACTAATGGTAATCAAGTTAACTTTCAATCCCTCAACATACATGACATCATTCAACAAGGAAAAACCAGGTATATCAATTGAACCTTTACCAAGAATTTTACCTTTCTTTCTATCTCCATAGTTAACATGACCAACATCAAATTATTGAAGATTAGTCAAAAGGGATTTGTTACCTGTCATGTGTCTAGAACACCCACTGTCAAAGTACCATCGATCATTTTGAAATGCAAGCAAGGATGTATGTGCAGCAAGACAACTTACATTAGACTTGGGTTTCTACACACTTTTTGTCTTTGAAAAAACCTTTGGAAGTGGTGACATTTGAGTGAGCATTTCATGATTTTCATGACACTTTTCAAATAGGAAATGAGTTTAAAGCATTTTGGTCTGGTGTGACCTTCCTTATGACAGAAATGACAAATTAGAACAAACCTTTTTACCTTCAGAGATTGATTGTCAGCAGCAGCAATAGCAATAGAAAGAGATTTTGAAGCCTTGATGAATATGCACACACCAAATGTATATGTGCCCGCACTTGGAGTGAATCCCAAACCTGATCTATCTTCAAAAATCTTCCCTTGATCCAACACTTCATCAAGATTGTAAGAAGTTGTATTTAACTTCTCAATAATGGCCTTAGCTTCAGTTAGTTCATTTAAAACTTGAATTAACAAAATTTCTTTGTTGGTTAGTTCAAAGAACAAGATTTTCATTTTATCAGACAAAATTTCCTTGTCTTCTACCAAAGTTGAGTTTTCGGCTTCAAGAGATTTAACTTTCTTGATTACATCTTATCATAGGTTTTTTGTTGCTCTTTATAGATATCACTAGAATCATTAGAGGTCACACTCTCACTATCCTCTTGATTAACCATAAAAGCCAGGAAATTCTAACTCTCACTATGTTCATCTTCCTCACTCTCATTTTCTTCCTCATCACGCTCACTTAGGTTAGCAGCCATTGATTTACCCTTTTTCTTCAGTGTTGGCACACTCAGACTGGATGTAACCATAACCCTCACACTCAAAACACTTAATGCCTTTGATCTTATTTTCATGTTCTTTTGAAAACTTTTTCGAAAAGAAGCAGGACTAGACTGGTGAGAAAATTTTTTCACATAAGGTTGTTTGCCTTTTCTAGCCACATTTTTTTTTTTTTTTTTTTTTTTATGTTCTTTTTCAAAATTTTGGCAAAGTTTTGTGTAAGTAAGGCACAATTATCATTATCCACATCATTTTCATCAACATTTTCAAGGAGATTATAATTTACCTCATGCTTCAAAGCAAAGCCTTTACCTGGCTTCTTGTCCCATCTTTTCAAACTGAGTTCGAAAGTTTGTGAGGATCCAATCAACTCATCCAATTGCATGGCATCCAAATCTCGACATTCTTCGATTAAGGTCATCTTTGACATAAATCTCTTGGGCAGTGAGCACAAGACTTTCTTGACAAGTTCAACATTACTATAGACTTTACCCAAATCATAACACTCATTAGACACATCACATATCCTTCCATGAAAATCAATGATTGTTTCATCTTCATGCATAGTTAGATATTCATAGTCAGTAACCAATCCGCCAAGCCTAGTCTTTTTCATAGTGTCTGTTCCTTCATTTTCGACTTGGAGTTTATCCCAAGCATCTTTTGCAATTTCACAGTTAGCAATGATTCACATCTGATTTACACTAATAGCATAAAACATGGCATGAGTGGCTTTTGAGTTAAAGTTAGCAAATTCTAACTCCGTCTTGGTTCACTCTTCTATTGGTTTAGGTTTGGACAGTTCATCTTTAACAACTATAGGTTCTTTCCAATCACTCATAACTGACATCCATACCCTCTCATCTATAGATTTTTGGAATACTCTCATCCTAGGTTTGGCTAACCGTATACCGACGAGCACAACTTCATAATCGGCCGTTGTTTGAGGCAACGAATCCAAATCTAACTGCCCCTAGAGTCTGGTCCCCATCCGGGCTCACGAGTAATAGTTCCATGCCTAAGCCTTTCTTGTTCAATGAACCATTGACGTGCAGATTCCAAGTGGTTAAATCTATCAATTTTTGTCTAATTGGCTGAGTTCTGCTTTTGTTGGACGATTCCAACGGAATTATCTTTTCTTCAGGTTGATAAGAGAATTTTGAGATGAAATCGGACAGTGTATGCCCGAGAGGTATTGAGATCAAACTAGCTTAATTCCACAGCCCACTAGATTAGTCGACCTAATGATTCTAGCTGTTGAACGATCTTGCACAGTAGGCAATTCATCAGAACCAAGATCGTATGAGCTTGGAAGTAGGGTCATAGTTTCCTGGATACGGTTAGGAGAGCTAATGGCAGCTTCTCTATTTCGGGGTAACGTGTCTCCGCATCAAGCAAGGACTTACTCATGTAGTAAACTAGCCATTGGATTTTTCCCTCTTCGTTGACTAGTGTTGTGCTAATTGCATGTATTGAAACAAATAGATATAGTAAGAGTGGTTCACCAAGGACTGGCTTAGATTGTAGCAGGGGTCGCTTGAGATGATCCTTTAGTTCTTAGAAAGTGTACTCGCACTCCTTTGTCCACTTGAACATGTTGTTACCTTTAAACTCTTCAAAGAAAGGTAGATACCTATCCGTGGCTAGGGAGACGAACCTGCTAAGGGCGATGACTCGTCCAGTTAAGCTTTGAACTTGCTTCGTTTCATTGGGATTGTCATATTTAAAGCGCTTGGATCTTTTCAGGGTTTGCTTCGATCCCACACTGGTTCACCATGTATCCTAAGAACTTCCCTAAGCCAACCCCGAAGGTGCACTTCAAAGGATTAAGCTTCATCTGGTATCATCTTAGGATATGGAACATTTCCTCGAGGTGCCCCACGTGATCTTCCGCCTTTTTTGATTTTACCAACATGTCGTTGATACATACTTCCATCGTCTTTCTGATGAGGTCGACTAACATCTTAGTTACCAATCATTAATAGGCCACCCTTGCATTCTTCAGTCCGAAGGGCATGACTTTGTAATAGTAAAGGCCCATGTCTATAATGAACGAGGTATGTGGCTCATCGAGACCGTACATTGGGATTTAGTTGTATCCCGAGTAGGCATCCATGAAGTTGAGTAAAGCATTCCTCGATGTCGGGTCTACTAGCTGATCGATTTGAGGAAGGGGGAAGTTATCCTTGGGAGATGCTTTATTGAGGTCCGTGAAGTGGATGCATGTTTTTAATTGTCATTCGACTCCACTTTGGGTATTTGACTTCCCTAATAAACTTTATTCTGAGGAGTCTATTGACTGCCTCTTTGAGTGCCTAGGATCATTCCACATCCATTACTCTTCTCTATCAACGGGTTAGGATTTAGGGTCAATGTTGAGGCGATGACACATGACCTGAGTGTAACACCTACTGAAAACTGTACAATGCATGCATAATAACAATAGAAAAGTTGGGCCCAAAGTTTTCTTTTCATTACAAAACATGTGTCTTTTATACATAAAGAGTACTGTTTACAAAAAATGTATTTTAAAAGACAAAACAGGGGAAACAGTGTAGCTATTCCTCATTGCTTGCCGACGCCCCTCCGACCGCAACATCATCTAGAACCTGCATCCACAAAGGAAAATAACGGGGTGAGCACAAAATAATGCTCAGTAAGTAAAACTCTCTATCTGTCTGTCCCCGTATGAATAACTCTTAATTCTTTCCTTATGCTATCTCTGATTCTATTTCTGTTTCTAATAACATCATGGCCTCATCTTACCGGAGGTACGGCCGGATGGCGTTCACACAGCACCATCTCACTCTCTATGGCTATCGGGTGGAATTCACACAGTACCAACCCGTTCTTAGTGACTACCGAGTGAGGATCACAAAGCACCAACTCGGTTCTTTCTAACTATCGGGTGGAGATCACCTAGCGCCTACCCGTTCCTCATGAATTTTGGGTAACGATCACCAAGCATTTACCCGTCTCTAGTCACTATCGGGTGATGGTCACAAAGCATCAACCCGTTTCTACTAAATGTCGGATGATGATCACAAAGCATCAACCTACTTATCTATCACTAACCGGGTAGCGGTCACAAAGCATCTACCCATCTCTACTACTCATCGGGTGACGATCACAAAGCATCGACCCATCACTCTAAGGGCTATTCGGATGATGATCACCAAGCATCAATCCGATTCCCATAACGGTCGGGTGATGATCACAAAGCATCATCCCAACTATACTACTCTTCTAATTCATTCTATTGTAGCATTTTTCAATGCTCTCTACCCTTAGAGTAATTTTACCCACTGAGCTCTCTACTCATAGGGTAATTGCATAAACCATTTCCTTACACTTTCTTAGGTCACTTTTCCATGTACAACTAGTGCCTATGGATGGTTCATCTTCACCAATGCACTTATGAGATGCCAACATGCAATGTTGCAAGAATTAAGGTTCATTTCTCATACTCAAACCTCTATTAGGCATTTCATCAAACAACTCATGTGCACTATAAAACTCTATCATAGCCATGATTCTAAAACTTTTCTTAACCATCCAAAATGGGGAAAAACCCCTTCACAAAGCCACAAAACCTGCCATAGAAAACACTTCCAAAAAGGGAATACATAATACCCCTTAAATTCCATCTCAACTACCTTGCCAAACCAACAACCCATTTCTCAAATTTGCAAGGTATAAACAATCACAAAGCATAGAAATCTCTATTTAATCCTTCATACATGCTATATTACATGCACATCACATACATACATCATTTCTATCAAAACCCTAATCAAGAAAATTCATAAATCTCAACTTGGGTTGGGTTTTACTTACTTGTTAAGGAGAGACTTCACAAACTCTTCCTTTCACTTGTTTAGCTTGATATCTCCTCAAATCTTAGCCAAAAGAATGAAAACCCTCAAACTTCAATATGGGTTAAAACTCCCAAATCACACAACTTAAGAAGAAATCCTTACCTTAGGAAGCCTTAGGTTGCTTTTCTACCCCAAAATCTTTAAAAAATCCCTTGGAAAACCTTGTTCAAAAGAAAGGAGAAGTTGAGAGGAGAAGAATGAAGAGTCACGTTTTTGAGAAGAAGAAATGAAGGGTTCTTTGATTCTAATTCCTTTTAATGAAATATTAACACCCTCATTCCCATTTTGCCCTTGTTCTAATTTGGGAATTCCATCCATATCCTTTGATTCTTTACAAACTCACCCCTATCTCAACCTATTCTCCATGAAATATCCTTACAATTAACTCCCCACTTTTCCTGCTAATTAGGGGTAGAAAAGTCAAAATGTCCTTAAGGAAGAAAATATCTAAAACTCAATCAACCTTTTATTCGGCCCGTCGCCGCGGCGAAGAAACATCTGTCGCTGCGGCGAAACTGTCCAGGGAGTTCCCCTTGATTTCAACACATCTTCGCCGCGGCGAAGCTTCTTCTTCGCCCCGGCGAAGCACGGCAGACTGAACTTCTTCTGTTTTCATCCAATTTTCAGGGCAAACATTCGACAAACAACAAAAGCCAACTAGATTAAGGGCAAAAGAGGAAACAATAACAACGTACCTCAAGCGGGGCGTTACACTGAGAATCAATCCTGGCCATGTCAACGTGTTCCCAAGCAAAAACATCAAGGTTTTTCTTCAGGAAAGCGATCATTCAATCATGAATTTCTCCTTTGAGATTGCTTCTGATCCTAAAAGTGCGGTAGGGAACCGCGGGTCCACAGGGACCTTGCGCTGTTCCTTGACCAAGCTAATGGGAGGCTTATCTTTGTGCATGCATGGATCGAGGGAGTCTCTAGCTGGTTTGGATTGAGACATAAAGTCGGTGGCCACCGCGACCAAGGGTTGTTTACTATCACTAGACACATAAACTGTCGATAGCAGCTACGGTCAATATTGGAAGAGGTTTAGATCAGAATATTCAAGGGTGAAACGTCCTTTCTCTAGCTCCAAAATGTTGATGCGAAATTATGTATTGACTAAAATGTTGAGACGTGAACACGCGCCAACCAGAGGTACTCAGTCGACCCTAGAAGGAATTGAGCAAAATGGGTGCATGATTTCAAGAAATCAGCAAAGGTGATCGGATTTTTCATGATGGTGGTTGAGGAGACGGTGTGCCTCCCGAAAAATAATGTGAGAACTAAGCGTTTTTAAAGTGGTTTGGCTGGAGAACATACAAGGCCTACATCCACTGATATATTATTTGAGTGTATGTATCATCTGGGTTACAAAGAGTGGGTTTTTTCCTACTGGAGAGGGGAAGTATTTCTTCTACTCCTTTTTCAAAACTAGAGCCTGAGTCGGGAAAGAGATAGATCAGATCCTTTCTTCTTTGGTCGTCATCTCCATTTATACAGAGAACTATGAGTGTCAGGACAATAGGTGCATCTAGAGGTGGGCAAACGGGGATTAAGCCCAAATTGGCTAGGACCGGTCTTGGGCCCATCACTTTTGTGAGGACTCGGACCGGTCTTAGGCCCCGACCTAGCCTGTACCGGTCCCAGGCCTTGGCCTGGCTTGTATAAGACCGGTCCTATGCATGCTTGATAAATACCAATTAAGCCCCCTAATTTTTTTTATATATTTGGGGTAATATATAAT